CCATATCCTAAAAGAAAACAATTCTATGGAGTCTAACAACTAAAACTGGTGTGTATAATCAATGCTTTCTTGGTTGTTGGATATGTATATTCCCTCCTTTMCCTCCAGCATGTGGTGGTGGCCTCTTGTCATGCTGGGGCATAGGCTTCTCATGAGCTACTCTGGCAGCTTCTGGTGGYAAATCTGCATTGCCTTTAGCTACTGCTCCTGATACTACTAACTTTGTTGTGTCTCTGAAATTCAATAAAGTCAAAAACGTTAAGAAACGTTTCAAGCTACAATGCTCATTTATAAGGTAAAAAAATCCCACTTGTCATAATGACACAGATGAGAATGCTAGTTGCTATGGATATGAAGTTAAACAAAGCATTCTTTGCCATAAATGCAAATATTAAAGTACCTAATGCTAATTTTCACAAGAGAAATTACTGGATAGTTAGGATTAGCAATCATACATATAGGGTCATTCAAATTTTGAATTTTTTATTTCAATATTTCAGATATTATTCCGGCACTGCAGTCCACTCAGAGAGCAGTCCAAGTATCTTGGTGATTCCAAATTTTCCAAAAACTTACAAATTGATTGCATTTATAACAAGACAAAGAATTAAAGCGTTTCAGCTTAAATTTAGCCGTGGTTTGATGTATTTTTTCCATTAACACATCCTAATTTTATAAGCTTATAAAATGAAATAAAAGATTTACGATATTTTTACTGTAAACCTTACAGGACTAGCTCTCAACCAAGATGTGTTGTCTCTGTATGAGACTAAGAATTTGAGATTTCTGATCAATATGAGCAACTTCGAAGCACTTCAGATTTATATTCGAGAAAATTATGAATCAAATACCAAATGAATGAACGCCCAGTCCACGTGCTCAACAGTAAACAACAATTCGCGTTTGTACAATTTTGCAAACCGACCTTTCTTTGGGTTCTTCAAATTCTTCATTCTCAGCCTTCTCTTCTGGTGTTGGAGCAGGAGGTGGAGGTTGATGATGATGCTTGGTGGGAATTCGCTTTCCTCCAGCTTTRACTGCGYGAAGAATTGTWCAACATTTTGGAAGCTAAATAATTAAGCTTGAATACTATTTGTTTTGTCGACGCTCAAAAACAAAAATTGAAGTAATATCTTCACACTTACCGGCGGGAGGATGACCAGCTTTGAGTTCAGGTTCTTCYGAAGGACTTGACATTATGATAAAGAGCTATGAAATGGTCGTAAAATAAAATTTTTAGCATTAAAGATGACCCTTTTCCCAATGTTAAAACAGCTGAACTCGGAAGCACCAAGATAACATATTCGGTGCTCTGTGATTGGAGGACTCAATCAGCTGATTTAATTTCTAAAGTTTGATTGGTCAGTTATTTTTCCAACAAATCTTATTTTACTCCAATTTCACAGATTTATTTATTTATTTATTTATTTTTTTTAATCATTACAAATGCCAGTATTTTCGTTAGTTTGGTATCTATTATATTGAAATCAAATGTTAATTTACTCAATATCGAAAGGCAATTTTCTGCAATTTTCTCAAAAGCATTTCTGACTTGCGGTTATCCTGTGCTTTAGTCCCACTCTCTTTTCATTGRTAGGAACGCCTGCTTGTTTTGGCGAGGCAATGGCCACCAGAAGTTGTCTAGAAATGCTCTTTGTTCAATTTTACCAGTCTACTAGTACTTTTAAAACCAAAAAAACATCGTCTTTATAATTCTCAATGAACATGCTGGCCTTCAGAGTTTTTTMCTTACTTTTACTCGCCACAGGGACAAAATGCAAGAGCTCTTCGGCCGCGCTCAAGCTACTTGAAAAGGAAGCCAAGACCGCAAWGTGCAAGTCTACTAACTTCGATAGYTTAATGATTTCAAGAGCTYAAGGTTCCGACAAAAAACTTTTATCATGTCTTATTAAGTCMCTGGATCAAACTAAAAATGARGGCTTCTTGTGGAGTTTATTGGGTGAAGTGTTTGCAAGGAMAGGCGAAAGATTGAAAGCAAATGTTTGCTACAAGGAATCAATCAGACTAATGGGTAAAGTTTCTAAGTACATCAAAAAATGGCATTACATTGGTCCTTTTACCATCGGAAAGAATGAGATCGATGGMGATCCACTTCAAGATTGGAAMGGGATTCAAAATGTTTCCAGACARCGCTGGGATAAGAAAAGAAATACATTTTATTCCGAAGTAACCAAAGGAGGAGAAATTCAATGGAAAGTCATTAACATGAATACTGCTAGCGAACCTATAAATATTCCTTCAAATGCTGATTGGAYTGATTTGATAATGAGTTTGCAATCATTAGGTATTGCCGAGTGGCAGGGATGGATTGTYGGTGATTTTGTACTAAATGAAGACAGTGCCATTCTAGTTCAGTGTTTAGGTGCCAGTACTGTGTATATCAATGATACTCTAATCACTGGTGATCTTTACAAGAGAAGGGAATTCTGGTAAGCCAGCTTATATATAATTTGATCTTTTTAAATAAAAAATCTCTTGTTCACTTAATCTTAGGAAGCCCTTTTTGTGCGAAATTGAATTTCAGCCTCCAATCATACAGTTTAATATCCAGAGAAAATATTGATAGATCAAGTTCCATTCTGATATTTCTGGTTAACTTTCTCTTTTACTGGTAAATGATATAATTTTTGACAGTCTCATAGTGAAAGGCATGGGCAATAACAGTGCATGTTCTGCTGGTCATGAGCACAGAAGTCAGGACAACGTAGCATTTCATAAAACAAATTTGAGTGTTCCATCAGGTTCTCAAGCAAAAAAATATTTTCAAAAAGAAGGCTGTATCAAATTATCCTCAGAATAGTATATGATCAGCTCTGTTCATTTTAGATAAATTATCATTTAGATTGGACTTACTTTGTTGAATCATGATGTTTTGGATACTTGTTGATCTCAAATTCTCTAAATTTATTAATACCATCAATCAAATGGGATGTCCAATACAAATAATGAAAAAAGCAAAATTCTTATWTYTTTTGATCCTCCTCTGRAGGCATCCTGTYCATCTTAAAAGAGGTATCCACTCAGTCATGATCAAGCTGCGCTCAAAAGCAACACTAGCTCTTCACTTTCATCTCAGTCAAGCTCAAGAGAAAGRTACCGTCAATGTACTAAATCCYCCATTTCTTCCTGATCTTGTTAATGGYAAARTGTTTAGCAYTCTTATCTCCRTWCCAGTGCAAAACCTTCATCACAGCAACTGGCTTAAAATTATAAAGGTGTCCATAAGAAGTAAAGATTCAATTTTTAAAACATCTTTATTTGGTGAACTCAACAAMCTCTCAATAGCACCAGGTCAAATTAAACCTATTATTATTAAAATTGATTACAAAAATGTTAAACTGAGAAATGAAGACAGTGAAGAAGATTGTAAAGATACAGAGTTAAATTTAAAGTTATCCTTTAAGGGGAAAGATGAGAAAGTTAACTTGGTTTTAAGGTGTAGAAAGTTGTCAGAATCATTTTTGTTCACCTTTTTGGATCACGATGGGTCTGTTCAACATGGTGCAGCTATTGCACCACTGAAAGGTTGTCAATCAGGAGTTTGCCCAGTACTTTTGACTCTCCATGGAACAAGTGAGTATTATTTACATGTAATTACTTAAGCATTATTACGGTGAACCTTAACAATCTGGAGCCACTCAATAAAACTAAACAATCATCAGATTTACTAATGTAAAGGAAAATGTACAGTTAGAGTTACTAACCCTTGGAAAGTGATAGAAGTGATAACTCTATCCAATCAGATTATAGTATTTCTATGCCCATATTTATCAACTTGCAATTCGATTGGATTGAAATTATAATCTCAAGGCTGCAATATGAATGGTTAATGATTTATGCATTAATTATCTAAGTGGCCCAGTTGTAGTTAAGAAATCGCAATTTTAATACAGCAATATTTTTAGTTATATCAGGTTCAACACAACAGTTTTTGCACTTTAATGTAATGAAATATTTACAATAATTTCTAGCTGTTTCACCTCAAAGTCAAGCAGACAGCTACAAGAGAATGGAAGATGGGCAATGGYTCTTTGGACTGGACAACCTTTGGGTGCTTGCACCAACACGGCATGGGGCTCATAACTGGGAGGGACCAGGAAAGCTCACTGCAATGAAGGCACTTGAATCATTTTCACTATTAACCAAAGAAAGCTCATTTATTGAATACAAAGCCGATGGCCACAAAATGGTCATTGCAGGCCATTCAATGGGAGGTCATGGCGCCTGGTATGTAAATTGGATAATGAGAGAAGTGGCACTAAGCCATGTGGGATAGGTTTGGAAATCATCGTTATGAGCATGCACAATAAATAAAATACTAGCCTTAATACAAGGCAGCACTGTTTCTCTTAACAGCTTCAAGTCGCATAAAAAATAAGGCACCTCAACTGTAAGCCATGTATGGGGTTTTCCTTATGTTATACTACAAAATATCAACAGCAAAGTGTATTGCTTATAGTGAGCCGTAGATCCCACGGAAAAGAAAATTTAAGAGTGAACTCTAAGCCGTGTGATATAGGAAAGTACGAAATGAGAAGACAGCACTGTGGTCTTTGAGTAGCATAACAAATGTGACATCCAGGCGCGTAGCGTGGACTTTTTGGCTTGTACGCACATGGCAGGGACCGCGACACAATTTCCCCTAAAAATGTTTGAAATAACAACTCTTGGAAATGCGATTTCCAGCGTTCTGAGGGGCATCGAGAGCATAAAATGCATCAATGCCACTAGTACGCAAGTGCGTATATGCGTGAAGGTCGCCACGCGCCTGACATCTTCACTGAATTTTTACTGTGCGACAAATATGATTGCACAACTCAAAAAASAACACTCAATAATTTACATGGTGTTATCTTTGGCCTGAAAGGGCTCAACGGTCCTATAAATGTCTATGAGACTATTTGGAAGACTATCRCAAAAGCGACCTGTGGCTTTTGGAAGAAACCTTTACAAGTCATGCWKCTCAACATATTKAAACTCATGAATGCAATATTCATATGATTTCCAAGCATGATGTCCCACATGTTTCAACGCCTCTTCTCAAATCATTAAATGATCTATTGTTTTTGAAATAATAATGATTATAAAGGCAATAATAATGATTTAACACTGTCATTGTTTCGTGTTGTAGGATTATCGGTACCCATTACCCAGACCAGACACTGGCARTGAMTTCTGGTGCAGGTTGGATACGAAAGGAGGATTATGGCGATTCTAATCTGTTTTTTAGACATGATGTTAGCACCAGTCATGTCAGCCCTGCTGTTAAGACTACCATGGAAGCATGCGTATCAGAAAATGATGTCGATAAACATGTTTCTAATTTACATGTAAGTATGACTTCTTCTATCAAACTCATAATTATGTCATCTTAAGTCATTTCAAGTCAGCAGGGATTCGTTAATGGGAGGTGATGTCATTGGGAGAGAGGGCTTACGCACAAAATTATTATCATTATGTCACAAGACATCAATATGACGTCATGGAAATCCTTTGATAAAGATCGTTGACATAGTCATAGCGGATAGCAAAAAGTATACCGTTGAAAAAGAAAAACAAAATACCCTCAGTTACGCCCTTGGACCGAACAGTTGGACCTCAGATCATAGTTACTAACTATTTATGAAAGAAGCAATATTCCAGGTTTTTGTCTTTATATTTTTATATTTTAATTGTGTGCAAATCATCTGTGAAAATTATAATGTTTATAATTAGATTATATATTATTATATCATTTTATAAATTATATATATTTATAATTAGACCATCAAAAATGGGTCAAATTGTAGCTAGCTGTAGCAACTGTGTCATAATTTGCCAGAATGATTTTAATGAAAAGTTCTTTTCTTTCGCGGTAGGGTATTCCAGTTATGATACGAACAGGGGCCGCTGACCGTACCGTTCATCCCTATTATTCACGGCGGATGTATCGGTTATTGAAACAACAAGGGTCTAATGTTACTTACGAAGAAATTCCTGGAAAAGAGCACTGGTGGTGGGATACTTACAAGACGAATGATGGTGGTGTGACCAATGATCCTGTCATCCGGGGATTTGCTATAAAGCACGCACAGCACGCTGGGAATGTGCCGTCAATCAATGGTGGTAGGTTAATGGATTGGGAATAAATCCTGCATGCAATAAAACTCTTGTAAAATGGTTTTAAGCAAACAAAAAGGAACAACAACAACAACAAAAGGAAACACATGTACGGCGAAACTAAATTTCCTGATTGAAGTGAGCTCATTGTAGTCAAAGAAGTCAAAGCCTTGTTCACACGAGCAATGCAAATGCAAGCGCAAGTGTAGTTGCAGCAGTCCACATGATGAAAATGCAAACGCAGATGAAAACGGAGAGTAGTGCAAGAAAATGAAAAAAGTCTCATTTCTTGCGCTTGCATTTGCTTGCTTTAGTTGTGTAAACCAGGTTTAAAAGTTCATAAAATTGTAATGAATTATTTACTGAAAAGTTTTATTCAACTTTGCAATGTTAACTTTACTTTAGATGTTTGTGACAAGAACAACGAGAATTGTGGTGAAACTGCTGAAAATAAGTACCGTAAGCAAAGCCACAACGAAGAAGCTTTACATAGAAATCAAGTTGGACGGTTTACTCTGACAGTCTACAATCCTGCTTCCAATAACGGTGAGCTGCTACTTTCGTGCGCGCACGCAAAACTCTCTACCTTGAGCATAGTTAATATTAACTATGCCTTGAGAAATTGTGACCGCCGAAAACTGAGTCTTCTATTAGTTCGCAATTTCGATTTTTGTAAGCTCAATATATCTCTGAAGCCTTGACGTCATATAACGTATATGCAGTGCATTGTAGGATATATATATTTGGGATAAAACATGGCGGAATTTTTGCTTTATATGGAAACTAATCCCACAATGTATTACAAATCACGTAGGAAGTAAAAGCTTCACTTATCATTTCACTTATTATTCCTCGATTGTTCTTTGGGCCTGTTATTCACTGTCTCACATTTATAAGTTTTATTGGTTGTCTCATAGGTCTCCGTGGAGTGAGAATCATTCAACAAATCGTTCCATTCAGGCACAGCTCTGTTCAAATAGAATTATCTACCGGATCAGCTGTCCTACGTACTGAAAATGCTGCTCGCATCTCGCTAAACGAGCCAGTTCTATCACCCATACTGTGGCACCAAAGACGTATCAAAATAGATGANTTCTGGTGCAGGTTGGATACGAAAGGAGGATTATGGCGATTCTAATCTGTTTTTTAGACATGATGTTAGCACCAGTCATGTCAGCCCTGCTGTTAAGACTACCATGGAAGCATGCGTATCAGAAAATGATGTCGATAAACATGTTTCTAATTTACATGTAAGTATGACTTCTTCTATCAAACTCATAATTATGTCATCTTAAGTCATTTCAAGTCAGCAGGGATTCGTTAATGGGAGGTGATGTCATTGGGAGAGAGGGCTTACGCACAAAATTATTATCATTATGTCACAAGACATCAATATGACGTCATGGAAATCCTTTGATAAAGATCGTTGACATAGTCATAGCGGATAGCAAAAAGTATACCGTTGAAAAAGAAAAACAAAAAAAACTCAGTTACGCCCTTGGACCGAACAGTTGGACCTCAGATCATAGTTACTAACTATTTATGAAAGAAGCAATATTCCAGGTTTTTGTCTTTATATTTTTATATTTTAATTGTGTGCAAATCATCTGTGAAAATTATAATGTTTATAATTAGATTATATATTATTATATCATTTTATAAATTATATATATTTATAATTAGACCATCAAAAATGGGTCAAATTGTAGCTAGCTGTAGCAACTGTGTCATAATTTGCCAGAATGATTTTAATGAAAAGTTCTTTTCTTTCGCGGTAGGGTATTCCAGTTATGATACGAACAGGGGCCGCTGACCGTACCGTTCATCCCTATTATTCACGGCGGATGTATCGGTTATTGAAACAACAAGGGTCTAATGTTACTTACGAAGAAATTCCTGGAAAAGAGCACTGGTGGTGGGATACTTACAAGACGAATGATGGTGGTGTGACCAATGATCCTGTCATCCGGGGATTTGCTATAAAGCACGCACAGCACGCTGGGAATGTGCCGTCAATCAATGGTGGTAGGTTAATGGATTGGGAATAAATCCTGCATGCAATAAAACTCTTGTAAAATGGTTTTAAGCAAACAAAAAGGAACAACAACAACAACAAAAGGAAACACATGTACGGCGAAACTAAATTTCCTGATTGAAGTGAGCTCATTGTAGTCAAAGAAGTCAAAGCCTTGTTCACACGAGCAATGCAAATGCAAGCGCAAGTGTAGTTGCAGCAGTCCACATGATGAAAATGCAAACGCAGATGAAAACGGAGAGTAGTGCAAGAAAATGAAAAAAGTCTCATTTCTTGCGCTTGCATTTGCTTGCTTTAGTTGTGTAAACCAGGTTTAAAAGTTCATAAAATTGTAATGAATTATTTACTGAAAAGTTTTATTCAACTTTGCAATGTTAACTTTACTTTAGATGTTTGTGACAAGAACAACGAGAATTGTGGTGAAACTGCTGAAAATAAGTACCGTAAGCAAAGCCACAACGAAGAAGCTTTACATAGAAATCAAGTTGGACGGTTTACTCTGACAGTCTACAATCCTGCTTCCAATAACGGTGAGCTGCTACTTTCGTGCGCGCACGCAAAACTCTCTACCTTGAGCATAGTTAATATTAACTATGCCTTGAGAAATTGTGACCGCCGAAAACTGAGTCTTCTATTAGTTCGCAATTTCGATTTTTGTAAGCTCAATATATCTCTGAAGCCTTGACGTCATATAACGTATATGCAGTGCATTGTAGGATATATATATTTGGGATAAAACATGGCGGAATTTTTGCTTTATATGGAAACTAATCCCACAATGTATTACAAATCACGTAGGAAGTAAAAGCTTCACTTATCATTTCACTTATTATTCCTCGATTGTTCTTTGGGCCTGTTATTCACTGTCTCACATTTATAAGTTTTATTGGTTGTCTCATAGGTCTCCGTGGAGTGAGAATCATTCAACAAATCGTTCCATTCAGGCACAGCTCTGTTCAAATAGAATTATCTACCGGATCAGCTGTCCTACGTACTGAAAATGCTGCTCGCATCTCGCTAAACGAGCCAGTTCTATCACCCATACTGTGGCACCAAAGACGTATCAAAATAGATGAYGACGATATAGGTGTTGAAGGACCTCTAGGTAACTCACAGGCTGAGTAATTCAATTAAATTCAAAAGAAAACCAAGGTTAATCAGCGACGTAAACTCTAAGCGCAAGCACAAGCGCAAAGCATCAAATAATATCTTGCGCTTACACTGTGTTCTGCTGGTGAAAACGAAACACAACGCATTTTCTACCATCACGGCAGCCATCTTGAAGTAATAATTATGGTCTACCAAAAGCAAAAAGTTCAAATGTTTGTGTAGACTTGTATGGGAAGGATTCACGTTCAATGTGCTTTACTTTGAATCACATAAAATTGCCCATTGGTAAAACTGATAACTTTCTTAACAAATTCCTCCTGGGTCGCCGACTTTCTTTCTAAATCAACATGGCGACCTTGCTGAGACGGTCTATCTAACTATGTACTTCTAAAACGTTTGTATATCATATTTTACAGGAAAATCTTCGATATCACTCTGTAGGTCAACTAATAAGGACTCGAATTGGAGAATCTGCGAAAAAGCCGAAACATTTGAATCTGAGCTTGAGAGAGGTCCTTTGAATATGGGACCTGCTGGTCGAATTGCTGAGAGTCCTTTTTTGATCGTGACAGGTAATGATTTAATCCCTGTTTTTATATCATAGTGTTTAATGGTGAGAATATTTAAGGAATATAAAACGAATTCGTGTTTGAACACGATATAAGCGTAGAAGACCACAACGCGACTTTACCTGTGATGTCCTGGACACGCTTTTAAGTATAAGGTGTAGTTCAATTACACATGTAAGTGTTTTTAACATTTTTATTTGATATCAAGGGACAGCCGATGATACAAGCACGACAAACACCCTTCGTCAGTTTGCTGTTTACATCGCTAATCAATTTCAACTGACGTCAGACGCCTTGGCTCACGTGATCACCGATAAGGACTTGGACGAAGCGACCGCTGATAATTACAACTTGATTGTCATTGGTAAACCAGAACAGAATTCATGGACAAGTCGTTTTCAACAAAACATTCCAATCAAGTTTGGAGAAAATCAGATTGAATTACGTAAGTGTGAAGCTTATATATAATTAGATGCGTCATTTTTGCGCATACTCTGTCTTTTCCCCTTATTGACATAGTTCGATTCATCGAGATGCACTATGGGATTGATGAAAGAACACTGACGGAAGCCATGTTGTTGTTCCAGGCCGCTTTTAAATATAAATCATTGCTTATTTTCCAGAAAGGTTCTCCTTCAGTATACTCGGTGCACAGTCATCTTTATTTAATGTTTTTCCAAAGCATTTTCTACAATGGAAAACATTTATTTCGGAAAAAAATGGCGACTTCCGTAGTTCCACCATCTTAAACACTGTCAATACCATGATGCACTTTGCTAAAATATGCATGACGTCATTAAGACCATCCGACCTAGACTGACCATTAGCGATAATCATAACTACTTTCCAAAGTCCCTTGTCTTTGAATATGTTTTCTGGTCTTTCTCATTTATTTTTATTTATTATTTAACAGGAAGCTGTCGATACCAGGCTCTCCGAACTGGCGCCATTTTCCTTGCTCCCCATGCTGGTAGTAGACTGGCTCTAGTTTTGACAGGGAACTCTCTTCTAGGACTACAAGACATTGTTCTCCTTGCCACGCCTACAATTCTACCCATGGCAAGGTCTCCGTTCTCAAATATGATTCCTGATTATACCATTACTGGTCCGGACTTTGGTGCACGTGGTCCAGGGGGATATCTTTGTACGGGATTCTGGGGCAATCATTGGGATTACAGACCTGAACTTAGTTCATGTTGGTGTTAATGGGGTAAAACCTGTTTTTTAGTCATTAAAAGGGTTAGAGTGATAATACGTTGCTCCATCACTCACTTTAATGTATACCCGGGTGGATTGCGTCACCTTTTGATTGTTCGGATCCCTATTTTTGGTTTACAGTCATAGGACTAACATCTCCTTCGGGAAATTACAGAACTGAAAAAGATAAGGCAGCCAAAGAGATGCACTTAACAATGAAAGTTTATGAGAAATTAAATCATATTTCTGTCATGTTCTGTATGGTGTACACCGAATAGACCTTTTGAAATACAAAATTATGGTTCATTGTGGTCTAGATTCAGTACAAGCAACACCATATTTGGCTACATTAACTTTCGTTGTTTGTGCCGAGCCTAAACCATAATGCAATGCGTAATGCTATTTCAGAAAAGGCCTATATATGACGTCACAATCTAACCAATAATAATCCAAGTACATAGCACTTAACGTCACAGTTTTCGAGCCATGAAGTAATTCGATTAAAATTTTTAAGAGTATCTAAGAGTGTTTTATTTATTAAATACAATGCTATTCTTTATTCCAATAAATTATAATTTCTTTAAAACTACTTCAATTCCACCTAGTTTTCTAATTCCCTTTTACCTTTAAATAGCTATTTTTCATTTCTCTTTCATAATACAATAAAATATTCTTGTTAGTTTTACAAATCACAGCTGCTAGACATCTTCACCGAGGAGAAGTTCTTTTTACTTTTATAAATAATTATACTAATATAGGATATTCAAATATTTTTTGGAGACAGTAGAGTCTGTTCACAGATATTATTGTAAACAATCTTTGTTAGTCTAGACCCAATTCCTAGTAATAATCGACCTCTATTTAGCCACGTAAGTCATGTGATAAATTATAACCAACGAATCATTATATATAAAATATCAGTAATCTAATAAATAATATTGATCTGGATTTTGAGCTCGGCAATAGGGTTCAGACGAAATAAACGCACTCTACGTAATGCAGTACGTAATGCAACGATTGCACTTAAAATTACGTTAAGGTAAATACTTCAACTATCGTTCAAGTACGTAAACGTAGAGATTGCACTTAACCACGAAATTACGTTAATGTACTAAATATTTCAACTATCGTTCAAGTAAGTAAACGTTCAATTGCACTTAACCACGAACACCGCAACGCATGTACGTTAACGTAACCGTTTCAGCATACCTCAATACTGTACGGTTGCATTCTACACTGCAAGGGCGTTACTTAGCGATTGTACACTACATAAACGTCACACCAATGTAACGATAGCAATGCCCGCTGGAATTAATTTCTCATCCTGAGTTCAGGYTCCTATTAAAGGTAGCTAGAAGTATACATTCTATTCTTAATTCCATTTCTACGATTGTAACTATGTCTGGTCTACGCCAAAAAGTGTCTATCATCTTTCCACGATACATGTACTCATTTTTATATATTCTCCATGTCGGAACAAGTAAAACATGTTACCGTAATTTTAGGTAAGAGTCCAACAGTCCTTCTTTATCCATAATGGCAATATCCTCGTATGTCCCCAGGCACTGGTCATCAACAAACAAMAGTGGRGTAGAACGGTGACCTGCCTTCTTAAAAACCTTCTCTCTTTGAAGTTTKGTCATCCCCACATCCAACGCAATCCAAGAGTCAAAGTCAGACAGGCTTGATATTCCCTTTTCTTTCAGGAAAATCTCCATCATCTGTTTATCTCGCTGYACCTTTGGTTTCATAGACGTCGCGGCGTAATAAACCCTTATCTTGCCTTTCCCGCCAAGATCCTCCAAACTCACATCACGTGACAAGCTTACGTCATCTTGATTGACGTCGTTGATAAAAACCTTAAAAGGGCTTCCTCGTATTTGTGTCTCGCCCCACTTGATAAGTATTTCGTAGGTTCCTGGTTCTGTGGGGATGTACAGAACGCGATGTTCAGTGTASGTTTTCTTTTTTTCKGTTTTCACGTAAGGAACGGGTATTGAAACAGCAGGACAGCTTATGCACACACTRAGAGGTCCTTTATYCGAGTTGTCTGTTATGACTGTAAACTTGCCAACACRTCCRACCTCACCGGCTACCAGTCCTGGCCCTTCAGCAGTGTTCATGGGAATTCCCAGAGGAATGTCACGAACTTCGGTTACAACTAACTCTGGTTTTTCTCGAGGACTTTCCATTRAACTGTTTTCCTGTTTCATAGCTTTGTAAAAGGGGAATTGARCGTCTTGCAGTCTTTCTTTTAGGATGTTCTCTTTCGTTCCAGGAATAACACCATTTACTTTTCCAGTTACAGTAAGATGGAAAGGACTTCTTAGAATGTGTGCACCACAATATAAYACGCTTATGATGTAGTCGCCTTGCTTTGATGGAAGGTATTTCACAACATAAGTGCTTTTACCCACTGATTTMACGCTCAATTCCGGTTTTTCTTCATGGCCGCCAGTAGAAGGTTTGCACTCGATTGCAATGGTAATATCAGAGGCTTTGGCGCCGTTTAATTCAATAATAAATTCAGCGATTTTTCCCAATTCCCCATTTTGCAGTCCAGAACCGTAAGCCTTGCACGAAGCGGCTCGTATGTTTTCGCTGTCTCTCAAAGTAGACGTCGTTTTATTATTATTGGTATCCTCTTTAACCAAGCTTTCATACTTACAAAATAAAGCAATATATGTCATAATACTTAGTTCATCGATATGAGTAGATGCAACGTCATATGAAGAAATAATTTGAGGGATACCAAATTTATCATATGCCATTTGGATGCCAAGTTTGGCATTGTTTTCACCATTGTAARTATCGCTGAAYTCCTCTTCTTGAATAGACCCTGGCTGCAGAGCGTTTACGAGTTCGCAAATTGCGGTTCCATCTTTCCAGTCATCGTCGAAGTTGTTAATGGTACGGTGAGGAAGTTTATGAGTTAGCCACGATAGAAGGAAAGTTCTTGCGGAACTTTGAGATCTACCCAACATATTGTAGTCCTTTTTGCACTGCTTTATGACAAAAAGTTCAATCAAAAACCACACGAATGTAAGCAAAGCATCCACTGACCCACAAGAAAGGCTTTCTAAATCTGAAAACACAAAGAGAAGTATTTATGAATAAGAATGAATAAGTCTGGATTTTTATCTGGATTTTTTAATCCAACGAACTATAAGACTATAGTTACTTTATAGACAAACAACCATCAACGAGCCTTCAATTTGTGTCTTATATCGGCGTCTGACACTCACAGCACGAATACTCTTACGATTATACCCGGTTTGGTGTTAGCTTGGTAATTTACAGACAAGTCAGGCTGATAAAACATGTCATTTATATATCTTTTGTTATTTGTTTCACCTGTTGCCTATATTTCCTAAGTTGGCGCCATTCAGTCCTTGCTAATGGCAGGTGGCTAAGCACTTCTGTTGAATTTCATCGCGTCGCTTGTGGTATATAACTCTAGATATTTAATGTATTTACATTTTAGAGAAAAAAAGGCTTAAGCTTTAATGAGTTTTGTCTTTGTAGCCAAGAGAATCAATCAATATGGGCATTCATCGGTCCGTAAGGTCTTTTAAAAGCAATTCAACAATYCGTGTAGAGTTATTGAAAAAGAACTCAATGCCGTGAAMTTTTACAAAAAGATAAGTTTTTTTCCCTTGGAACTACTGTAACTATGATTGAGTTATACCTTAAACTACATAGTTTATGATTTGTACAAAATGCATGATTTTAATATGTACAAAGTTTGTCTGGAAACGTAACAATAAATCTAAATGTTCTAGAGAGAATTCAGATTTTATGTCCGTCAAATGTCAACCTGTCGAATATTTATATTTATTTTTTATTTTATTTTTGGCGCGCAKTCCCCTTAATATTGAAGAATACGCACTGAGAGTGAATTACAGTAATACAGAATTGAGTAAAATCTCGCGCTTCCTGGTATGAATTTTCTTTAAAAACTTCATTTGTTATATCGATACTCTAAAAATTTTCAGAGACGTGAGAAAAAGTAAATGATTTTAAGCCTGCGGCGTTTTTAAAATAACCGCTGGGCTACTGCATGGCTGTCCACGCTCGTCAATATCTGATATCTTTTACTAAAAAAATATAAAAACCCATATCTTTGTTCGGTTATTTTCTTAATCTTTGACTCGATTTGAATAGAAACGTATTATTCTTTTGGATGGTGATAAGCTTGGAATGGCTAAAATCAGTAAATTTGCTGTGCCATTCATTTGAATTTAAATATTAGACTAGAAAAAAAAAAAGATGTTGTGCAAGCCAGAAGCCTCTGTTTCGAAAAGATATCTATATGAAAAGTAATTATCATTTACCTTTATGCCTTAGATGGAAATGTTATTCTGTTGAAACGACTCCACGTCGCTCTGTAGCGGAAGAACTACCGGTGTTGTGTGAAAACAGCGAAAGACACAGCGCGTAATAACACTTCGGTCAAAGCGGCGTGACAGACGATATCGAATTACCATGACAATGCCAGCCTGCTGTGTTCAGTGCCAGAGAGTATTGTCACTCGGGTGAAAACGACGTTAAAAATTCAAAAGGCAGACATCTTAAAGATAACTTGAGCTCAGAATAAATAAAATATTTAAAGAAAATAGGATTAAATGCACTCGACTGGATTATTCTGTAATCATCATCATTTTAAGTATCATCATTTCAACCAGGTTGACGTGTTTTTTTGTTTGTTTTTGTTTTTTGTTTTTCAAAGAAGACAGAATTATTAATTAAGTTACATGAGATGCGAAAACTGTGCATAAATGGGGCATGGTACGCCGCAGATAATTGATATCTTGATGAACATATAATCACATAGAACTAAACATAATCCTTGTTCTTGCCGCATCCCAACATTTCGTTGAATAAATTCTGTTTCCCAGTAACAGGCAAATTGTCGTAAAATACGAGAACAGAGCATAGTAATACGTTTCCTTCCATATTTTTCATTAGTTCTACGCAAATTAACCTCTTTTGCATTACGTTTTCGCGCATTTCCTGAAGTATTAAGTGATTATTACCCAGTAATATCGTTGATACAGATTTATTTCTTAATTATATATATTTTTTCCTTTTCGTTATTAGCGCGGCGAATGTAATGTGCCCTCTTTTCTTATYGTGGTGATGTTCAAGGATGTTGAATGAGGATTCTCTTTCAAAGCCAAGAAAATGGATTTTGCATTTATAATCACTTTGAAATGTAAACAAATACTATATGCTGTGTTCTTGCCTGTATGTATATTCAGAGAATATACGCCTTTTCCTTTATTTACTTTGCCTTTTATTATTTTCACGTTAAACTTATTGATTATTTAARCAATATTATTCATCATTTAGAATAATGATTAAAATTTGAATTGCTTGAGAGCCACGAATATTTAATTGATGGTAAGATCAATCGATTTATTCATTTTCTGACTAATTCTAAACCAAAAACAATATTTCCGTGAGGAAAAAATAAAAAAAAAGTTCCTCTCTGTTGAACCCGAGACGACATCAGAACAAAAGCTCACCTTCTTGAGTTACGTCTGCTGGGAATTCTTCAGTCTTCAAAAACAGCAGAATATTTCGCCATCCATCTATT